ATGTCATGTGGCAGCAAAAAAAGCCAATGGGATTTTGGCCTGCACCAATAGAAGCATAGTGTCTAGATCTAGGGAAGTAATGCTACCCCTCTATTCCGCTTTGGTTAGACCACATCTGGAATATTGTGTCCAATTCTGGGCACCACAATTGAAAAGAGATATTGACAAGCTGGAATGTGTTCAGAGGAGGGTGACTAAAATAATCAAGGGTCTGGAGAACAAGCCCTATGAGGAGCGGCTTAAGGAGCTGGGCATGTTTAGCCTGAAGAAGAGAAGGCTGAGAGGAGATATGATAGCTATGTATAAATATGCGAGAGGAAGTCACAGGGATGAGGGAGCAAGCTTGTTTTCTGCTTCCCTGGAACAATGGCTTCAAACTACAGGAAAGGAGATTCCATCTGAACATGAAGAAGAATTTCCTGACTGTGAGGGCCATTCAGCAGTGGAACTCTCTACCTCAGAGTGTGGTGGAGGCTCCTTCTCTGAAGCTTTTAAACAGAGACTGGATGGCCATCTGTCAGGGGTGATTTGAATGCAATATTCCTGCTTCTTGGCAGGGGGTTGGACAGGATGGCCCATGAGGTCTCTTCCAACTCTTTGATTCTATGATTCTATGATCTCCTATTGAAATCCAAGGGAATCCAAGAGGACCTGAATAAGATCTCCCAAGGTTTTTGTGTCACCAGATTTAAAAAAGTTTAGCAAGAATAGAAAGAAAATTAATTCAGCTGGCAATTCCTTTGTTATGCAGTTTAAAATGTAAATGGTATAAATTATTATGATCATGTTTTAATTGCTTTTTGTAATATAACTTATTACTTGTATAATGGTATTCAGCAGTTCATGTCCTGCTCACGCATTAACCTGGGCCTCATAAAACCAGCCATTTAAACTTGAAACATATTATGTAAATGAGCATTCTTACTTGGGAAATGGATAATTGCTTTGTTTTTCTTTCCCTAGAAAAAATAGAAGCGTGCCTCCACTTAAGCTGCAACAGTTATATATGTAATTTCCTTCAGGAGGAGACTTCCTCCAATGACTGATCGGGGGAAAAACATTAACAGTGTTTATTTTTAGTTCACATGTACAGTCCAACAGGCATCACCGAGGAAATCATAAGCTGAAACCTTTGAAACTTTTGATAAATACCATGTTTCAATCATCTCATTAAGTCTTCTTCAATTGTATAGTATCCCTTGGTTCCATAAATGTTCACATTGCAAACAATGATGTTAATTTCTCCTCCTCCATAGAATAATGAGGAATGCCTAGAAAGAACATTTCTCTAGGGATCACTAGGTACTCCTGCACAATTTTATGATATTCAACACTCATTGGATGTAACTAAAATTGCATTCAGTTTACCTATGTAATAAGCAGACTTAGTTTGTTTCATTAGTATTTTTATACTGTCTTAACAATCTCTATCATTATTTACTTTAAAATAATATTCAAAAATGAAAATGTGTAATAAATATTTTATTTGCTACATTGAATTTACTTAAAACATTAATCAATACTGCAGGTGACATACAACCCAAACTTGTAATTGTCACATCCCATTTAAACTTTAGTTAATTAATCTTCCAATTAGACTGATTGTAGCTTACAGATCTAATTTATGTAGGTTGCAGACACTAAATGACCTCACTCCATCCACAAAAACTGGAAATATTCCAAATAATTTTTTTCTATGCCATAAAAGTATTCATCTTTCCTCTTCTTATTAGATCAATTTTTATTTCACAGTTAATAAGAATCTTTCCAATTACACAAAGAGTCAGGGGGGGATATACATCATAGTGGGAAAAGTGCTGTGGTATTATTCAAATGTTTTAAGGTTGAGCACAGATTTTTTTTCTGTATCGATCCACAAAACGTTATCATGCTGCTTCTTTTGTACACCAGCATACCTCATCGCATACTCTTGAGCAAAATATGTAGAAGACTCTAACTCTCTGGAAAGGCTTTGCAGAGGGGAACATAGTAAAAGAAAAGAAAAAAATGAAGGAATAGAAAACTTTATTTTTTAAAATATTTTGGGACTGCAATTCTATACAGTTAATTTGGAGGTGAGTCTCACTGAACTCGATTGCATTATTTTTGAGTAAAAACATATAGGAGTAAGAGTGCATTTGTCTGAAGTACACTGCTACAGTGGTTTAATACAACTTTACTTGGCCTGATTATATCCTATGAAATCCTGGGCAATCAAGTCTGGTGAGGAGCAAAGAATTGTAGACAACAGTGCTGTAATCCAATTGAATGAGGTAGAGTTTCTCCGCAAAGAATTTCAAATACTGAAATAGAAACATGTTGACATGGTAATTAACCTGTTAAAAAACTTCTATAAGTGTGTAGCACAGATACTACATTGTAAGTTAACTTATCTAAGGGCCCATCCGGACAGGCCCATATCCCAGGACCTGTCTGGGTTTTTACCAGGGGCGACCAAACGGCAATCCCGCCAAAAATGAATTTATTCAGAATAACCTCTGTTATTCTGAATACATAAAATATTCAATTAGATCTGAGGCTTCTTTAAAGACCCGGGTCTAATGGGGTATTGGGCCTGTGGGGACTCATCTCCGGGTAGTTACAGGACCGACTAGAACTATCCAGGGTGGCAGTTCTCAAAGCTCTCTCGCACCTTTAGGACTCCTGGAGCTCAAAGATGTGGGGTGACACCCACCCCCTCCCTGCAAGCCCACCTCTCCAAAAACAACCCTTAAAATAAAAAAGCTTACCCGGCCACTATTAAGGTACTCCTTCAGGCCTCCTGGCACAAAGAAATGACTTGCTAGGAAATGGGGGTGGGCAGTGAGGAGCATTTTTACTCCCCCCATCATCTCCGGCCACATCATTTCTTCATGCCAGAAGGACTGAATTAGTACCTTAATGGAGACTGGGTAAGGTTTCTTTTTAATTTTAAAGGTTGATTTGGGGGGCTTCTGGATGTCTGTATGCCATTCCTGTTGTTACCAGGATGGCTTACTGCCACCCCCACCCTGCAGGAATGCCTGGGTTTTGGAGTGGGAGTGATGATCGAATCTGCGAGAAAGCAGGTTTCTTAAATCCACTTTGGTGCACATTTTGGCACTGTCTGGAAGTGCCCTAAGAATCTAAGTGGATGTAATTTTCTCCATATCAAATGCAACTGTGAAAGGATTCTGAGTCAAGCCAGTTAGAGGTAGGGTAATTCAGAATCCTTATACCTAAATAGTAACAATTGGAAGACTGGTCTACAAATCACACAATGTTTTTCTGAAATAGCTTAAAACAGGAGAACTATTTTGTCATATGTATACAAATAGAGTTTTATTTATGTTGATATGCATTGAGGTGCATTTCTCTGACATTAGCAGAAGCCAGGGATGTTGTTCTTGAATTCTTCCTTGTGATGTCTTACATCACCTCTACTCCACAAAAGAAATATCTCTACAGCATTCATGGTCCCCATCTTCCATTTGGCTGGTGTAACATACAGTCAGGATCTGATATGGACAGCAGGAACACAAAATGGATGTCTAATACTCAATGACATCTTTACACTCTCTTCTTTTCTTTCTTTTTTACTTTTTTGCCCTCTCTCCTTAGTTAAGCAATGGCAGCTGATGGCTTCTATCACAGTAGAGTGGTGAATGCTGAAGGAGCTATCCAAGTTCTGAACCAATATTAGAGAAAGGGTTCAGCACCTTGGATCACTTCTTTAAAGTTCAATCTAAAACCTAAAGCAGATTTTGTGATCCCATACTGAGAAGAGCCATGAAGGACAACTAATCCTAAGACAGATATCTGTTAGCCTCTTAGATACCACCAAAGCCAGGACATCAGTCTTTAATGTTCCTTTAGGTTGTCTTGATTAGAGCCCGTATCATTGCTTGTTATGATTCAGCATTCAGAACAAGTGCAAGTGAATTCCTTTGAGCAGGCTAAGGAGTAAACCGTTCTGGCTATTGTGGACCTCTTTTTATTTTGTTTTGTTTTGTTTCTGAAAAATGAAACTGAGCTTGTTTGAGGCTGGATAATCCCTCCTCCTTCTCAAGACATTTTTTAAAAAATTTTAAATAGATTTTTTCCTTATAATGAAATGGGGGTGGGGGAGTGTGAGTATTTTGTGATGATATATGGTGTTATCTTTGTACTTAGACCTTGATTGCACTACCTACATGACCACCACTGGTGGTCTGTGGTGGCAGGGGAAAGTGTATGCAGTGTCTCTAAACCATACAGCAGAAATGGAACTTCCTGGTGTTGTGGGGCTGCAATTTCCATCATCCCTCATCAATATCTCTGCTGCCTATGACTGATGAGAGCTGTAATCCAAGAAATCTAGGGAACTACATATTCCACCCCTTGAGTTTCCCCTCTATCTTGTTTTATTTGAGATATTTCGTTTATAGTAGATGAAGCCTGAAATATTTATCCCATAATCACTTGTCTGCCATTCTGAGATTTGCATGAGCATTTATCTCCCCACAAGCCTTGAGATCTCAGAAGAATTGCCTATTGGCTGAGAAAGGCGGTATACAAATACAGTAAATAAATAAATAAATAAATAAAATCCAGAGATCTTAAGGGAGAAGGGCCTTTTATGAACTTTGAGGCAGCGTTGTATGGGCTGCCATACCTGAATCAGCCCATCTCAAGCTCGCATCCAACTATGTTCCGCATTAATATTTTGAAAACCTTGAAGTTCTATCCCAACCCTTGCTCTACTGTCTAACTGTCAAGGTTCGTGCTCTAAATGTTAATTCTAACATTCTTCTATTAATGGTAAAGAAGTCTTAAGTTATCATACAGGGGCAGCATTCCTCGAATCACCCTAATAACTTGATAGACAATGTTGGCTATGTGAGTCAGATTTTATCCATATGTCAACTTCTATCTCACATTGTTCTTTGGTGCATGTTACTTGGAAATGAGAAAACATATTTGTGATTTTAATATTATTATTCCTCTGATCTTGGTGTAGTTTGATTTTCAAAATGGAAGTCTTAGTGATTTAAAAAGATTAAGGAAACCAAATGGATTGTCACTACTACTCCATGTGTGACTATGTTTCTTGGCAGTCCTGGATTTCCATCTACAGTTTGAATTTCCTTACAGTTTGCTCCTTCAAACCCTTGATAGCAATGGCAGGTGAATTTCTCTGTCATTATTTGAAGGTCATCAGATGATGCTTCTCCTCTCACAGTAAATCCCTGGTCTTCTGAAATCTCTATCTGAAAGTTGTGTGGATTTAAATGAAGGTAGTCTAAAGCTTTCCAGTTTCTTCGGATGCACCTCCCATTGTTCTGACAAAGATACCAGCTGCACACTTCTGCTGCTTTGGTTACATTGATGATATAGACACCTAGCTCAGAAGCAATGAATTGCTTGACCTTCGTGCAGTTAATCTAGAAAGAGAAAAAAGGAAAGTCAGCCATTACACATCACATGAAATTGTTTTTAGTACTATCTGTATTATTGTATAGGAAAATGGAATCCAGATAATGTTCCCTGTCAAAAAATTAGAATTATTTATTACAAATATTATAACTTTTAAAAATGTAGATGTTTATTGTCCAATCTTGATATTTTCTACTACCAATTTAGGCTAATCCTATAAAAGGGGAAGATCTTGCATAGCAGCAGATGAATAAAAATTGATTTTGGCATATGAGGCTTAAAACTAGTGAAATTCTCTCTATTAGGTAACCACTCAAAATACAGAAGAGCTGTGTGATCCATTACTTGATCCTGGACAAGCATGCTGACTAGTATTATATAACTATAATCTGGTTAATTAAAGAGAGTGGTATCAACTTAACCAGGTTTTTGAGTGAAGCAACAGGCAAAATCTGATAGACAGTGTGGACTCTCACACACAATCTTTAAAGTCTGAGAGTCTACCACAAACCTCAGAAAACAATGTAATAGGGTTTTACAGTCATCATAAATGCTTAATACTACTTGGTACTGCATCTGAATATGAAAGCTCATGCAAAAGAAAAGCCCAATAAGACTTAAAGGTGTGGCCTTATTTCCTTTTTCTTTCCTCTTCCTCCTTTTCTTCTTTTATGCTCCAAGACATTAATGTGGATGCTTCTCTGAAAACAAATGCAGATACTCTGTCTTATTGCTGTACAAAGGAAAAGGGAGTAAGATAAGGTCAACAATTAAAGGAAGAGGAAATTAGATAGATGTGGAGCTACATTTAGTGACAGAGCAAAACAAAGGACTTTGGAAGCTATTGCAAGAGGATTGCAAGGAGAGAATGGTGGTGGCAGCTAGGATGAGTTGCTGGGAAGTATGAGACTGATTGTACTTGACAAAAGGCTGAGATCATTGGAGATCAAAATCCAAAGAAACTCTGACAATATAACTCAGATCACTTGGTGAGGGGGAGTATCAAGGAAGAACAATTAGACCCATATTCTTTCCTATGTATCCTACACATCCAAGCATTCTTAAATACTAATTATGAATATTAGTGTTTTTGTAGAAGAGGTATGCCAGCCTTCTATCCCACAGAAAATCTTTTACATAATTTGATAGATATTCACAAAAGGTTTCTGAAAAAAATGGTAACTGTAAGCATGTTTCCTTGAAAGCTTGTTTTTTTATTCCAGTTTAGTTCTCCTAAACTAGCTTGCATTTTCAAAGTTTAGGTAGAGTTTGGGGACTTCAATTAGGTATCTCAAATGCTTCCACTGAACTATTATCCTGAAAGTTCCTTCATGAAAGAAATTATTACTTAATGAAATATAGAGAATTCTACTCTTAGGATATTGTTAAATTGTAACACCTTCCAACTGTCCTGATTTAGCAGGAACAGTCTTAATTAATCCTTTGTCATCCAGTTTTTTCAGCTACTTTAAAAATGTCTAGTTTCTATCCCCTCCTCCACTTTTGCCATTTGAATTTGAGTTTAAAGTTTTTAAAGAGTGTTTTGAACTCAGTTAACAGGACTGAGAAGAGAGGAGGAGGAGGAGAGTAAGGGGAGGAATATTGCCCTTCCTAGTAACCAAATATTTCTTTATTACAATCATAAACCAGTATAAGGAGAGTGGGGTGCAGCCTGATAAAAGCATAATACATTAACATCTTGTCTAAAAGCTAAAATAAAGTGGTATATTAAAAAGCTAAAACACAAGAAACTTATTATAAATAATAATAATTTAAATAATTTTTAAAAAATCTAGAAAGAAAAGAAAGGAAAAGAAAATAAAATCTGGAGAAGCAGATTGGAGATATATCCCCATTTATTCCTTACTCTGCGGGATCTTCCCAAACAGAAGGAGCCCATCTCACAGGAGAAACATCCTCCCTCACCTCCTTTCTCATTGGACAAGAGTAAGGATGTACCCCCTTCCAAAGAAATGGGATGTTTGCTCACCTGTTATCCAAATTTTGCTGCCCATGTGGCACTGATTTCTACAGGCTCTCTACCAGAAGCTCATGACGACCCAATTTCATAAAAAGACAGGGGTCTGATGGAGAAGGAACAGGAACTTGAAATCGCTATCCCTGATCCTCCTGATGTATGACAGCCAGGTGACCAGCATAAGGTCACCCTTCTAATATGGAATGTGGCTGGGTGACTTGCCCTTCCCAGTAGATTCAGGCAGAAACAAATAGTTGCAGTCTTTCCATGATCTAGCTAATTAATAATGTTTTGCCATCTTCACTCCTCTCTGACATTCCTTGGCCACATGTGTTCCTGTTTTCATCTGTGAAATTTTGGAGGATATGCATTCCTAGCAATACATAACAGTAAGGAATTCTGGAAGCTGTAACACATGGAGGGCCCCATGAGTTCCATTCCTCATCTATAGTATAAGTATTTCATTTGATAAAAAAGCAAGAAACTTCCTCCCCTCTTATTCCCAGATGTAAGAATCTATCAATCCAAAAATAAAAATCTTAAAACAAGAGGACCATATGACAGGAATGTAACTTTTAAGATTTTCTAACTCCAACAAAAATGCCCTCTTTTACCTATACAGCACCTAAAGTTTGTTCCAGATATAGCAGTACAGAAATTCCTTGAGGAATTCAACATTCTCTGCCCAATAAAGGGACAGTCAGTTTAGACAGGACAGAAACCGTTGGAGCTCAAGGGAAGTTACTTTTCTGCTGCTAATGAAGTTGAAATATCATTACCTTTATTTTAATTCTCTTTGTCCCTAATCCTCACACAGTGAACAAAAGGAGTAGTTCTACCTGCATTGAGATACCACAATACCATCTTCAGTAAAGAAATTTGAGGCCAAGTGCAGACCTGTTATCATTACCACCTTTCTTCTCTTGTATGATTTTTGACATCTTTGCCTGATGAAGAATTTATTGAAGCTTCAAAGACTTGCATGATATCTTTTATTTACAGTTCTTATTTTTATTTATTTACAGTTCTTATATTCCGCCCTTCTCACCCCGCAGGGGACTCAGGGCGGATTACAGTAAACACATATATGGCAAACATTCAATGCCAGTTTGACAAACAACATTTAACAGACAAAGGCTATTTAACTTTTTTTTTTTTTGGCCGACAGGGGAGCTGCTGCTTTTCATCGTCCATCAACGACACCGATGAAGTTCTTCCGCATTCCACATTCCCCGGAGTCTTCTTTCTTTATGGCCTCATAAATTAGTTAAATTTAGCCTCCCACACAAGGTGGTCCCTTATTTTCCTACTTGACAGATGCAACTGTCTTTCGGGTTGCAAAGGTCGACAACGGGCTACACAATGGCTGGACACCCACTCCAGCCCGGGCTGGCTTCGAACTCATGACCTTTTGGTCAGAGTGATCTTAATGCAGCTGACACTCAGCCAGCTGCGCCACAATCCCGGTGTTTTGGAACTTGACCCAGAAAGGTACCTCTGCTTTGTAAATTTTGGATTTTGTTGTATTTTTTGCATGGTCAATACAGCAACCTCAGAATCTATATTTTTAAGTATAATAGTTGTTCAAAACACTGATTCAAACCCCTTGAATCAATCACTGGCTATTCGAGTATTGTTGGTGACCTATATGGATATTGTCAGCCCTGTCATGAGGAAATTGATGTGAATTTATGGTCTTGATAGGCTGCCTGTGAATGAGTTGTCAGATAGAATTCTGCTCAAACTATAAGGAAAATAAAACCGGATAGCATATAGTGGAAATTCTGTCTACTGCATTAAACAATATCAAGTTAGAATCAAAGCATCGGCTTACCTCTGATGAAGTTAAATTCATATCTCCCCAGACAACAATTCCTGCAGCTCCCAGGGCAGCACTTTCTCCAATAGTGTTAACAAGATCTTGCTACAATGGAAAGAAGAAAAAGCTTGATTAGCCTATCTATGGCTCCAACTACACAGGCTCTAATATCTGGCAGATGGCTGGAGAGTGTGTGAACTAATTGGGGAAAAATGAACAAATTCCTATGCACACTACACATATCTAATTTGTAGTGCAAAAAAGAAAAGAAAGAACAATACAATATTTAAAATAAAGAACAATTTAGTCAACATAAACTTGACCGTTTTTCAGTGGAAGACCTAGAGGGGGCCATTCAGTCCAATGCCCTTCTGCCATGCAGGAAAAGCACAATTGAAGCACTCCTGAGAAATGGCCACCCAGCCTTTGCAATAATAATAATAATAATAATAATAATAATAATAATAATAATAATAATAATAATAGAATCTCCAGGGGCCATCTAGTTCAACTCCCTTCTGCTATGCAAGAAAAGTGCAATCAAAGCACCCCCAACAGATGGCCACCCAATCTTTGTAGTAGTAGTAACAACAACAACAACAACAACAACAACAACAACACCCAGCATACCGATCTTGTTTGCTGTGTACTAATTTTGTTGTGTTTCAAATAATAACAACAGCAAAAACCCCATCCAGTTCAACTCCTTTCTGTCATGCAAAAAAAACACAGTCAAAGCACCCCCTGAGCGGTGGGAGGGACATAGAGTTTTGGAAGCAAGGAAAGTGAGGGGGAAAGGATCTGGGTAGCAAGGGAGGCAGTGGGAAGCAAGGGAAGGGAGAAGCAGGAAAGAGGACAGAAAAGCTTGGAGGTAGAGGAGGTAGAAAGAGGAGGAAAGGAGGGATCCCTTCAGTGTGCTTTGTGGAGCCCTAAGGGCTCCGCGAAGCACACTTTGATAACTGCTGTTTTAGGTCAACGTACAAGTATATATGGTAGTTGATGCTTTAAAGTCCATCAATTTTACATTATTAGTAAAGATTCTTCTCATTTCAGTTTCAGTTTGCTGATTTGATGGTCATGAGAAATTTGGTGAAGATCAAATAGTTTTGCTCTACAAATTACATATAAAAATATTACTATTTTTTAAAAAAGTGTACAAAACCCTAATAACAAAGCACACACCTTATAAAAATGACTCCCTTTAGCCAATGAATCATGAAAAGCCTGTTTGAGTAAAAAGGACTTTGTTGATGAAAGGGAAGCAAAGAGTAGCCAATAGTCACCAAAAAGGCTGTTGATCGTATCTTCACTACATGGGTCTGTGATGGCAGTGACACTAAAATAAAACTCTCTGAGGATTTGAGGACTCAGAAACAAACTGATAGCTAACAAAATTGTTTCAATAAGGGATTTATGTGTTTCTCAGTTAGTATTTCAATGGCAGCATTTTGAACCTGCTGACCTTTCCAAAGGACATCCCACACTATAATAACACAAATGAGATGTACTAATCAAAGCATATGTCACTATAGCCAGATCTGATTTCTGCAGGAACAGTGCAGCTGACACACAAGTCTTAATTGTGCAAACATATTCCAGGCCACTAGCAAAACAAGGTTATTGAGGTTCAGTTGAGTTCAGGAATACACCCAAGCTACAAACCAAGATTTCAGGCAGTGTAAACTCATCCAACACAAGCTGCATTCTTATTCCCTAGTCTACTTTTTGATCAACTATTGGAACCTTTGAATCAAATGTTAATTTGTATGCCTTTATCCAACCCATCACCAACAATATATATTGGTTGAGTACTGAAATAGCTTCCTTGGAACAGGTAGAAGTCGTAGAATTTGATGCCATTAGCATATCAGTGACATTGAATCCCTAAAATCTAGGTGATGATTCCAATAAATTTCCAACAACAGTTGGTCCACCACATTAGAGATCATGTATAGCTGTCATCACCAAAAGTCATAGTTAGTCTTCTCCACCAATAATTTCTATAATCAAAGCTATACAAGTTGGCAGCCATCACTGCATTTTGCAAAAGTATTTAATTTGGCAACATGCTTTGTAAAGAAGTACACCATTCAGATGATTACATGTTCTTGTGCATTCACTTCCAGTTTACTATTAATTTGTTCTAAATGTTCTACAACACCAACCCAAGTCAGTTAAACTCACCCTTAAAAGTCTTCAACATCGAACTGATACCTATTGCTTATACATTTCTGTTAGTCCAATAAGATTTTAACTCATTTACCCAGGAATACTGTCCATTTTTATATGTCTTATTTCTGTGAAAAAATGTTTAGCATTTATATATTGATCTTCCTCAATATTCTAAATAAATGATAGATGTAATCTGAACAATCATCCAGACTTTGCGTTCAAGATCAGATAGGCAGTATTTCTATAGCACAACAGTAATTTCCAGGTGCTGTGGACTTTAGCTGTTTTGGATTTTAGCTACCCAAATTCCAAACAATTGGCCAAGCTGACTAGGGCTTCTAGGAATCGAATACCCAACCATCTGGAGGACAAAAGGTAGGGAACTACTGTAGTACAGTATTATGCCACAGGCATAATATATTTGACATCTGCTGAAATGTCATTAGATGGACTTAAACTGACAACTATTTCTCAGTTTAAGTCCATCTAAGGAAATTTCAGCAGATGTCAAATATATTTTTCTTCCTGCTTCAGAACTCACTTGCTTTAATTACTACATTTGCTTTAAAGTAGAACTTGCTTCTATTCCCCATATGGCTTACCGTGGAAAGAAATAGCAAGGGTTCATCTCTATAATCTAATCGAGTATACACAAACACTGGGAGAGCATAATCATGTGATGTCATAAAGGAAATCCTCATAGATTCATTCACTCTAAACTGTGAAAAGCGTAATATGTTTTCACTGTTCCCGAGGGATTTCTTGATGCCGATGGAAGGATACAGAGCGGCACTGCTGTTCCACAGCCATGATAGTTCATTGTTCCGCAAAACTTCACTTTCTGGACAAGATCCAGTGTAGTTCTGATCATGGAAATTATAATTGTGGCAGTCAGGATATAAATAGTATCCCCAAAGGCCCTTTGGTCTACTTTTAATTCCCAGCTGAATTGTCTCCTTCATGAAAGCTTTAGCACATTGTTCAAAAGAAAATTTGGCTAAATATTCAAGAGCATTAGCTGATACATTTTGTTGCATTTCAGAAATTAATTTCCTCGACTGTCTCCTATAAATATTTTTTGTGTTCCAGTTGCGTTCCCATTGAGGCCTCCAATGTTCCCAGTCTATGACTGCTAAGCCTGTAAAATCTTCATCAGGAATGTAGTAATTAATGTCCTGACTAGCTTTTTCCAGATGAGCTTGCAAGCTGAAATTCTGAGGTAAGCCACCATTAACTGGAACGTCCTGTGAAGTGTACCATGGATAATATCCCAGCCTGTTGAAATAAAAGATAGTCACATTTTGTCTTCTTGCTTTGGCAAATGGGCTGCCAATCACATGGAACATGTTCAAGTTAACTGTCACATTGTATCTGATCGAACAGTGATCGGTTGGTGCATTCCAGGCAGCTATAAAAGGCTTCCTTCGGGAGATAGGTAACTGAGCTGGCTTCATGGCAAAAGCAGAACTCCATAAAAAGGTAATCTGTAGCCAAATTGTACAGTGTCCCTGCTGAGTAATAGAAAAAAATATTTGAATATTCAACAGAACACTCATGATAGGAAAAGCTAGTGCAAACATACACCCTAGTTTCACAAGTTCTTCAAAGACATTGTTCCTACTGTTGTTAGTCTAAAAATACTGAAATATGTATATGTGTGTGTGGGGGGGGGGGGGGCATATATTTAAGCCTCACTTTAATGAGGTATATTCCGGATTCTAACAAAGCTGAAAGAACCGAACATAACTTCAAAAGTTTCATGAAGCTTTAAAGACATCCCCCCCCCCCCACCCAATATACATATTTCACCTTAATGAAGCAGTTGTGTTCCTGGGCATTACTCTTGTAACAGACAATTTGATGCAAGAGCCAAAAACAACATTGATAGAATAGAATAGATTCCTACTAGGCATGTGTGATCCATTAAAACTGGTTCTAAACTCCTTCCAAAAATAAGGGGCACTGGCACTTCATTTCTAAAGTATTTCCAAATTTTGGGTGGTGAAAATTTCAGAACTTAACTAAACTTACAAATCTTCAGAAGTACTTTATTAATGGCTGTTGCGCATGCTCAATAAGGAAGACACCACTGCCAGTGGGGAAAATTCAGGGGCTACTATCTCCTTCATTTTTAAAGCCATTGATGTGAAACTTTCTACAATGTTAGATCACATTTACCTCCAGTAGCTCACCAAATTTCAGAATTTTTGACTTATCCACAGATTTTTGGTGAGTTTTTATAAAAATATTTTTTAATACTAAGAAAACCTGTTTCTGGTTTGAAAGTGTTATTTCCTGTTTCACTGTGTATGATTTACTTTGAAAGTCATTGTTCTACTCCAGAAACTTTGTTATATATATAGGATGATGTCACTTGCAAAAAGACAAAGTTTTTACAGTGTAATAAACTTTCCCCCTGTTTTATGACAGAACCAGTTAGAAACTGCCATGTATAACCCAGGAACAGATATCATAGTACAGATACCATCCAGGGACATCTAGTCTAACCCCCTTCTTCTGGGCAGAAATGCACAATCTAAACTCTGACATTCAATTAATATGCTTCCCCTATTGACACACAACCACATAACTACAACTTAGTACAGGTTTATACTATTACTTATTCCTCTTTGCAGATTCTATGATTTTATATATTATTATAATTAATTGACTAAATGCTATGGCTGGCTGCTGCAGCCCAATGCATTCTGGGAAATGTAGTTTATTCTATTTTTAATGACTTTATTCAACATGAAATTCAAATACATAGCCATGTTAGGCTGTAGTTGTACCTATTTTCCTTAGCCACTGGGTGTCAGTAAGAGTCTGTTTTGTGTGGCCTCCAAACTAAACATTAGCTATTTGGGGAAAATTTAAAGCAGGCCTGTTTTGCCTTAGATGACTGCTTTGTGTAATTGGATGCTTACTGAATGAGATAGGAATGCATTGTTTATGAATACATAGTTTTACAAGACTAAGTTTTCAAACTGAAATTATCATTTTTAGAAGTGCCACTAGTGGGTGACTATTACCTGCACTATTATGTAAGGGTGGAGTAGCTAAAATAATACATGACATCAACTGAACTGTATAAATAGAACAAATTCTGGCTCAGCTGTGAAGAGGTTCTGTCCTATGCACATAGAAAAATACAATATTCTAAAATGGTAGCATCTCAATATAAAGTCTAATTATGAATACCAGTTCAGTTCAAGCCCAATAATCTTCACATTAGAACAAATGTTGATAGAAAATCCTCTTCATATTCTTCTTCTCACCCACTCCACTGTCAGCCCCCTTCTCTCCTCTTTCTTTGGTTTAATGACAGGTGATCAGTCACCACAACCATTGCTAAAATTCCCTTTGGTGACCAACAACATTACAAGACTGCATACTTTGTAAAGGTAGCACAATGATTGTATGGTGGTCTATATGAGATACAGCAAGGAACTGTTACCATTTTTTATAATAGGGCAATTTACTGCAAGTGTCTTTAGAGATGGAAATCTTTAAACAAATTCTTTCTAAAATATCAACTTTTCATTGATCTGTACATTTGTGAGGAATGTGTGCCTTTTTAGAGAAATTGATGTCATCTCTGAAGAAGTTTTAAATAGGTAAAAAAAGGCAGTCAATTACTCCTAAATATGCTTTCATTAATGGTGAAAAATTCAACCAAAACTTTAATGTAGTAGGAAAGGTGTAGATAAAAATGTACATGTTGTGCTAAATATATATATGAGAAGAGAAAATGTATTCTTACTATGGTATACAAGCAAAACATCACACAAGAATGCAGGTGGACTTCGAAGAAATACAAAGAATATAGTTTTACGAGCTTATCACCAAGGCCTGGTGAAGCATCCTGCTTCGCCAAAGAAAGGAAAGGCAGCGGAGTGAATCTGTTGCCCCATGCACTGCTCCCTTGCGGCAAGGCTTCTCCCATCACACATGGGAAGGGTCGCCCAAGCAGCAAGGATCTGTGCTGGCTCAATAGGAGACAGCGCAACACAGACAGGCTACCATGTTGGGAGAGAAGCATCATACGACTCTTCCACTCCACTTGTGGATGGGGCCTCTGCCAGAAGTCCAGTGATGCCATGGGATGGCCAGAATGCCCATCCATTGCTGGACTGGCAGGGAGGCATCCTAGGATTCTTCCCAAGACCTGTCTGATGAGGCAGCTAATCTTTAGGATGGAATATGTAAGGAAGTGTAGGAAAGATATATGAAAAGAAAGGTGACAGTGAACAATTGGTCACAGAAACTTTTGTTACATCAGAACCAAATCTGATCGGCATACCCAAAATAATAAAAAACATAAAAATGGGAAAATATGAGTTTATTTAGTAATGATGGTTAATAAAAATGGAAGAAATTGCTTCACTTTTGCAATGGAAAATTGTTTAATAATTTTAGGGGCCAGAAGAATCCTTCCATAGACCAAAACCTTGGACAGTTCTCTATCAAAGTGCTGCTATTGTTTTAATCTTATCTATGCTTTCTGCCCTGGGCTTTTCCCAGTGAGTTCTAAATAATAAATAGTTGACCTGTTTGATGAAATCTACTGAGTTATTTAGTTCTCACACCTACAAGAACAAATCTTAACATTTTGGGGACTAAACTGAAAATGATGAAAAATTCTCTTTGTGAAGCTACGCTGGATATCACCATTACACAAAAACTTTCATAGCTAAAAGTGTGGTAGATTCCACTGTTGTACTAACTCTGAAAATAGGACAGCAAACCTTCTGTTAACACATTGACATTGTGGGCTATAGGCTTGGTTGTTGTTTAAATATCATATTATTTTTTTGTCTTCTAGCATAAAATTACTAACATATGACAAAATGATGGTACCTTTTCCCTCTAACCAGGCAAAGGATCTCACCAAATAGTATCATATATCATCATTTTCCTTCCAAACATTCTTCTTCCTATCCTTAAGAATGTCATTTTCTACTAACAATTATGAGTTGCCCATAGAGGTTCATAAATTCTCCTTGTTTTTGTGCTGAAAATACATGTATAGCATCATTCTGAGAGGCACAGATGGAGAACATTCACCACTACGGTTGTGTCATTAGGGTTTTTTAATTTCTTTTGCCCCATTGCACACATGGAGTTCATAGCAACCGTTTTCCATTATTCAGTGTGGAAAGTAGTTGCAATTCACTTGGAGGCTTGTGAACTGGAATTGTCACATTTGTCTTAGCAATCAGAGCTAATCCTGGTGTAGCACAGCATAAAAGGAAAAAATGCCAAGGTATGTTTTAAAAAATCTATTGAAGCAACAAGAAAGAAATACTGGACAAGTTGCTGGGTTTGGAGGAAAATTCTAATCATTGCAACAGGCATATGGAAGATATCAGACCTCTCACAGATTAAGGACTTGTTACATGCCTTTCATAAGACAAAACCTGTTCTGGATTGGATTGCTGACTAATCAGCAGAGAAAAATGCAAAAATTATCACTTTAATGTGAGTGTTGATATCTTTTTTTCTACTGCTTTTGCATGCAGTAACACAAACACACTCCTGATGCAGCAACTGAAGTGAAAAACAGTTATTTGCTCAATTTTATCATGGCTCTTTCAAATTACACAATTGTTCCACTTAAACTGCCAGGTCAACATCATATGAAATTCTCAGATTTCTGGGAGGTGGATTTAGAAGTCTTAGAGAACCTTTAGTGCTTTGTCAAACTACAAATCACAAGATTCCATAGAATGTTTCCATGGCAATTAAATTAAAATCATAATTCTAACATTGTTTAATGTGAAGATGCTTGGCGTGGATGGAAACAATGGTATGAAGGGAGAAGAAAATAAATCAATCTAGTTGGTGCACCATTAGATTTACTTTGTTGTTGTATGCTTCATTTTGGACTTATGGCAACACTATTGTGAGCCTATCACATGCTTTTCTTGGCAAGATTTGTTCAGATGCAGTTTGCCTTTGCCTTCTTCTGCAGCTGAGAGAATCGCCCAAGGTGAATTTTTATGGTTTAGTGAGGATTTGAGCACAGATCTCCAGAATTCAGGCTTTTTTCTGACTTCTAATCAAGGTGAAAGAAGAAAGTGAAAAAGCTGGGTTGCAGTTAAACATAAAAAAAAACAAGATGATGGCAATTGGACTGATTGATAACTGGGAAATAGAGGGAGAAAACTTGGAGGCAGTGACAGACTTTGTATTTCTAGGTGCAAAGATTACTGCTGATGCAGACTGCAGCCAGGAAATAAGAAGACGTTTACTTCTTGAGAGGAGAGCAATGACCAATCTTTATAAAATAGTGAAGAGTAGAGACATCACACTGGCAATGAAGATCCGCATAGTAAAAGCAATAGTATTCCCAGTAGTACCCTACAGATGTGAGAGCTGGACCATAGGGAAGGCTGAGCTAAGGAAGATAGATGCTTTTGAACTGTGGTGTTGGAGGAAAGTTCTGAGAGTGCCTTGGACCGCAAGAAGATCCAACCAGTCCATACTTCAGGAAATAATGCCTGACTGCTCATTGGAGGGAAGGATATTAGAGGCAAAGATGAAGTACTTTGGT